GGGTGGGCGGGGGTCCTCGTCACCACTGTGGGGGGGAGGGCGGGGGTCCTCGTCACCACTGTGGGGGGGGTGGGGGGGAGGGCGGGGGTCCTCGTCACCACTGTGGGGGGGGTGCGGGGGAGGGCGGGGGTCCTCGTCACCACTGCGGGGGGAGGGCGGGGGTCCTCGTCACCATTGCGGGGGGGCGGGGGGGTGGGCGGGGGTCCTCGTCACCACTGCAGGGCGGCCCAGAAGTTCTTGAAAGAACTGGGAGGCTGGGTGACAGGGATACTGGAGCTCGCTGTACTTTTTGCACCTTTTCTGTAAACCTGAAGTTTTTTTGAAGTAAAAGGTTTAAAAGACACCGAAGGCCGGGCTGGAAGGATGGGTGCTTCAGTGCCCGAGTTTTGTCCCGAGTTTGGCGGGAACCTAGACGAGGTCTGACAGGGTCTCGGGGCTTCGCCTTGGAGGTCGTAAGTGAGGGAGCAGCGCCTTCCTCTGGGCGTGCCCGGCCCTCGGGCGCCTGTGCCCTGCAGCGTGGGCGCCCCGTCGATCCCGTCTCGGCACTGCCACAGCCCTGCTCCACTGTAGCAGCGGCCTCTTTTGGGTTCTGTCCAGGGTGCCATGTTGAGCAGGGCCTGGGGCCCTGGCACTGTCTCCTGGGTGTGTCCCCACGTGGTGTCTCACGCGGTGGCTGAGGCTGGTTGTGGGAAGGGACGGCCGGTTCCCAGTCCCGTCCAAGGAACAGGCCCCAGGGACGGGACCGCTGCGCTCTGTGTCACAGCCCCTCCCCCCCGCTCAGAGCCCTGAGACACCCTCTCCCTGCTCCCCCTCTTCCCACCCTTCCCTGCAGTTCCAGACGGAGCTGCGGAAGATCCTGCTGTCCCTCATCGAGGTGGCGCAGAAGCTACTGGCGCTGAGCCCCGGAGCCGTGGAGTTATTTACAAAGGCCAACGGTACGTGCGAGTGGGTGGCGTGTCCCCACGTCCGGGCGTCTGCTCCCCACAGCCTGAAGCTGAAGCTGCCCGGGCTGCTGTCTCTGCTCAGTAGACGTGGGCGGGGAACTCTCACCCACATTCCTGTTCCTACGAGAGAGCTGACGGGCGCCTCAGGTGTCCCAAGGCCCGGCAGAGTCGCCACCAACCTTTGGGGCTCAGACGAGGCCCTAGAGCTCCAAGGGGTGCCTGGGAAGCACCCCTCGTGGGCGGCCCTGCCAGGGCCCCTCACCGGCCACATGTCGCCCACAGCGATGCTGGATGAGGACGAGGAGGAGCGGGTGGACGAGACGGCCCTGCGGCAGCTCACGGAGATGGGCTTCCCCGAGAGCAGGGCCGTGAAGGCGCTTCGGCTGAACCAGTACGTGGGGCCCGCCCGGGGCTGGTCGAGGGTCTGCCCTGCGGTGACTCCCTGTCCCACACTCCCTGAGTCAGGTCCAGCGTGTGAGTTAACGCCAGCCCCACAGTCCCTGGCCTGGCACCACGTGTGCAGGTCAGAACGCGGCTCGCTCTAGGGAGACGGCCTTGCTTCGTGAGTGGGGGGGGGGGGGGGGGCACCCCAGGGGGAGGGCCGTGTGGTCTCTAACAGTCCTCAGTTCCCCTCTCTGGTTACGTGTCCTCGTGGACGTCAGAGCTGAGACGGTCCGTCAGCCAGAGGACGGCCGTGGCCACCTTCCTCTTCCCTGGTCCTGAGCCCTCGGGCTCCTGTTGCTCACAAAGTGGGTTCTGTGGCCTGGCCCGGCCCCCACAGGCCTGAGTGGAGGCCTCACTGCAGGGGGTCGGCAGCGCCTGCTGGAGGCCTCCTCCCATTGCAGGGCTTGTCCTGAGGGAGGGAAAGGGCCGCGGGACACCTGGACGTGTTGGAAAGGCTGCTTACCTTTCAGCATGTCGGTTCCTCAAGCCATGGAGTGGCTGATTGAGCACGCGGACGACCCCGCCATAGACACGCCGCTTCCAGGCCACACCTCGCCGGGTACCACAGGGGCTGAAGCTTCGGCCGAGGCTGCTGCCGGCTCCAGCGAGGACGATGAGGAGGCCAGAGATGAGCTCACAGAAATCTTCAAGAAGATCCGCAGGAAAAGGGCATTTCGGGCTGACGCTCGGGTACGTGTCCTGCCAGGGAGACCCGCCGCTGTCCCCTTGGGTGGCATTGCCTGGGCCACGCGCTGAGCCGAGCCGCCAGCCCTGGGGCCGCCCTCAGTCCTCACTGGTTCCGGAGGCTGTTTCCTCTGAGCAGCCAGTCAGCACACCTGCCACCTGCTGAACCCACAGCAGGTCCTTGTCGCGTAACCAGGGCCCGTGAGCCGTGGGGGTTCACCTCTGAGTGGTGGAAACCCCCGTAGGTGTTCCTCCTAGAGCAGTTGTAAACGAGGGGCGGGGTCTGAGGGCCGGGCGTCGGCCTCTCCCTGACCTGTCCAGTCGGGGGAAGGTCCAGCAAGTGTGCCGTGTGCAGACGGGCAGCCCTGGCGCCAGGACCCTGCCCGGTGCTCCCGTGAGAATGGGGGGCGTCCCTGTGTCACCGCCGGGACGTTTGGGCATCTCTTCCCGGCCCAGATGGAGGACAGTCTGTGACGTTAGTGGAAGAGGCCACCCTGTCCTGAGTCAGCAGTGGGTTCCTGGTGATTGTGCGCGACTCTGAGGACTTCTCCGGTCATTCATGATGGGCCTGGAGCGAGGAGGGGCCAGAGAGCCAGTGAGGAGCCTGGGAGGAGGGAATCCCGGCTGACGGCTGCGGCTGGCGTGGCTCCGTGGTCGCGCATCATCCCGTGCACCCAGGGCTCAGGTTCCCGGTCGGGGACATGCCCGGGTTGTGGGCTCGATCCCCAGGACGGGATCATTGATGTTTGGGTCTCTCTCTGTTCCTCTCCCTTCCTTTCTCTAAAATCAAGAAAAACGTATGTAAAGAAAACACTGGCTTGTGAGCTCACAGAGCAGGTGGGCTCCACAGGCTCTTTCCCGAGTTCTCTGGAGCCTCTGACACCCAGGCCAGGCCAGCGCGCCGCAAAGGCCACCCCACACGGCAGCACCTGTGCCCACAGGCCCAGCGCGTCAGACCATAACGTGGGGGCAGTCGAAAGCGAGGACGTTAGGGCTGCCTGGGTGGTGAGACGGTTGTACCCCGACAACCGAGGGCTCTGAGGCGAGCCTGGCCCCTCTGGCCCTGGGGTGAGTGGCGTCCTGTCCCCGCGGTCTGTCCCCAGGGCAGGCGCCCTCCGCCTTCCTGGCCTTGTCCCTCAGTGTCAGGAAGCCTGTGAGGAGACAGCTGGGAAGTGGACCGTGGTGCTGGGTGAAGCCTCTGCTAAGTTAGCCCGTGGACCGGGTCCCAGTGCACGGCATTGAGGGCCTGTGGCTTCTTCTTAGGCCGTCATTTCCCTCATGGAGATGGGCTTCGACGAGAAGGAGGTGATGGACGCCCTGAGAGTGAGCAACAACCAGCAGAGCGCCGCTGTGAGTACAGGGCAAGGGCCGCGGCGGCGCCCCGGGTCGGCAGGCTCCTGGGGGGCTCGCAGGCAGGCCGCTGTTTCGCTTTTAAAGTGACACAGTGGGTAGATTCTGATTGTATGAAAAGTTTAAGTACTCGGGACTCTGGGCTCTAACCCATTCGCTTTGTTAGACAAGTTCTGGGCTGGGTCCCGTTCAGCGAACACCCCGGCTGCTGGCACTGCCTGGGGTGTCTCAGCGGTGGCTGGCTCGTCCCTTCGGGTGGCAGAGCCAGCGGTCACGAGTCGGTCACGGGAATGCTCACGCCCCAGGCCACCTCCCCAGTGTCCGCATTTCTTTCTCTCCTCCCAGCACTCGGGCAGGTGCTGCACCCGTTCAGCAACGGGGTGGTGGCTGCGCTCAGAAGGCCGGGCGGGGTCCTCCCTCCTACAGCGCCCCGTGTCGGGGCTTTGCTCTCCCGGGAAGGCCTCTCCCTGTCAGCGTGGGGCCTGTTGGGTGGTGACCGTCCAGGGCTGACGGCTGCGCTTTTGCTTGCAGTGCGAGTGGCTGCTGGGGGACCGGAAGCCCTCCCCCGAGGAGCTGGACAAGGGCATCGACCCCAACAGCCCCCTCTTCCAAGCCATCCTGGATAACCCCGTTGTGCAGCTGGGCCTCACCAACCCCAAAACACTGCTCGGTACGTGTGCCTCCCCTGCGCTGCCCATGGGACCCGCCCAGAATATCCAGATGTTCCTGCGTGATAGACGCCGCAGCCCAGCCCAGAGCGGTCCCTGCGCACGTGGGCCCTCCGTGTGCTGCTGCCTGCGTCACTGTGGGGCCGGGATCGGGCTCTGCTCGTGGTGGACCAGCTCCTGTGCGCTGACCCCCACACCTCTGAAAACCTGCACAGTGGTCCTCCAGGTGCAGGGAGGGCACACCCAGCACAGTGGTCCTCCAGGTACAAGGGAACTAATAAGCTTGCATCTTGCCTTCGGCTTAAAAAAACACTGTATTTAAAAAGCCAAGAGCGTTCCAGGCCCTCAGAGCCACTGGGCGCCCTCCCTACAGAGCGCCCATGTCCTCGGCTCTGCTGTTTCTGGGCGTGTTGTCACGTGTGCATTGTCCAGGCAGCCTGCGTGCAGTGCCTGCTGTGAGTGGAACGCGTCTGGGCCCACCTGGCTGTAGGCACTCAGTCTCCTGGAGCCAAGCCTTTCCTGAAGCCAGGGCACCACGGCTCCGTTCTGCTCTTGGCCCGGGGCGGGGGGTGAGGTGGGGTGGCGGGGGGGTGGGGGGGCCTCACACGGCCCCTGTCAGGGCTACCCTGCTCATTCTCATGCCCGCCCTCCGGGGCACACACGCGGGGTCTGGGCAGGGACCTAGGGCCGGGCGTGTGCGTGCAGGGCGTGTGCAGGGAGGAGGGTGCAGCGCTCAGAACCCCGTGCTCCCCAGCACATGGGAGGGCACTGGTCGCCCGGCAGGCCCAGGTGCTTGTGGTCGTGGCCGTCTCCCTGACCCTCAAGGCCGAGCCCCCCTGGAGGCCAGCACTCCCAGGCCCTCGGCCCCGAAAGGCCGTCGGCTCGGTTTTGGCCTCTCTCTCTGGCGGGTTGTTCTCCTTGTTCCCCCAGGAGTTCCTCTTGGTCTTACCGGCCCTGCCTTCCTCACTCCCACGGACGCAGGTCCTGGGTCCAGTGCAGTTGGCTGTGTCTGTCTTGTTGATGACACGGAAGCCCTGTGGTCCAGGGTCGGGAAGGTGTGCGAGAGGGGGCGGGGCTGCTCTGTACACAGTTCTGCCCTCGGTGAGCGTCTTGCTGAGCTCATCTCGGTGCTCTGTGTAGGCCCTGGTCCTTCTGCCCTGGAGCACCTCCGGCTCCCCTCCCCTGGCAGGGACACGGCCTGGCTCTCCCAGCCTCTTCGGAAGGGCTGTCTGAGGCTGCGACCAGCCGCCGGTGGCTGGTGATGTTTCACCATATACTTGGTCGGTTAAGGAAGCTCCCTTCCCCCAGTCTGGGTGCTGAGCTTGGAGCCCTGGAAGCACCTCCGTCTCGCTGCTCTTTGCCTCTGTGCGACCGCACCAGGGTTTACTTTGTGGCTCCAGGTCCGTGGGCCTGAGCCGGCTCTGCGCCCCAGCACACGGCTTCCCTCAGGCTCCTGTTCAGACTTGCCTGATACTTTTGCTTATTTATATTTTAAAACAATTTTATTTTATTTTTTAAACCTGAGAACACATTTATTGATTTGAGGGGGGAGCGCGCGCGAGCACTGGGGGACAGGGTCTGACCCATCTCCCGGGGCCAGGGCTGCTGTGGCCCAGAGCGTTTGCTGGAGGCACCTGTTTTTGGAGAAAACAGTTTTGCAAAACTTTAGAAAGTCAGAGTTGTCATGTTACAGAGCTGCTCAGGTGCCTTGTTAATGTGCTCTTTCTTTAAAGTCACCTTCTTGAGATGAACACTTACAGTTTTCCAACGTGATGTTATCGTACTTGCAACAATGTCTTTATATGTAAGTCCTTTCGGCATCTGATTGGAACTGGAATTACTGAGTCATGGCCTGACTATTTTTAAGATTCCTGGTAGCTGTTGCCAAATTGCTTTCCAGACTTGGTGTCCGGTGAGCACACAGGCCCGGGCTCCCTGCAGAGCTGGGTCGCTGCCCTCTGACCTCAGAGCTGCTGGTGTGACAGCAGGTCAGACAGTGTGGTGGGGCCGGGGGTCTCGGTGGGTGCCCAGCCCGCGTCTGTACTAAGCAGCTGTGGAGATTTTCTCCAGCGCATGCACGTGTGTGTGTTGGGTGTGCTCGTGTGTGCACATGTATGCATGTGTACACATTGTACACACGTGTTGTGTGGGCGAGTGTGTGCACACATCGTGTGTGTGCACATGTGTGTGTGCATGTGCGTATGAGTGTGTACACATTGTGTGTGCGTGCATGTGTGCGCGTGGAGGGGCAGCCGCTCACTCCGCCTGGCTCTGTCCCCACAGCGTTCGAGGATATGCTCGAGAACCCCCTGAACAGCACCCAGTGGATGAACGACCCAGAGACGGGGCCAGGTCATGCTGCAGATCTCCAGGATCTTCCAG